GCATTGCGTTGAATATTTTTTAATGAAAGTCAACGAGCATGAATCATAGTAAATATATATCGATGTTTTGACTGAAGAAGACAAATGTTTTAGTGCTATGATCGATGAGTAATAGTTGTTGCTTTACTATTTGCATGAGTTACAGTCATTAGTAGATTTACTGATAACATGCAGCTCCAATTTTCTTAACTATCATAATTACACATATGGTACTAGCGTGGCTGATCAATAAAATGGAATAAAGCATATTTCCAAGATGTTCAACATTTTGATATACACTTATATTGAAAAATAAGGTTAAAGATAGATTTCAAACTTAGTATTCTATTTCAAAAACAATAATTAAAATTTTGACGAAGACCATTTCATCGTCAAAAGTTCATATGCCTTATATCATCTACATTTGTATACTATATTTAACAAAAAAAAACATAAAGTTTCTACCAAAGAATGAGTAGACGAAAATAACTGTTTATATTAAATTAGCTAAGCTGTAAATTTGTTTGAAATAAAAAGATAAGCAACATCCATCAGTGGCAATTTAAAGATTCTCCTTAATTAAGAAATTTTTCTCAATGTAATGCGATATAAATAGTTCCATAGATTTAAATTTCAGCAGCTGTTAAAGTAGTTAAGTAAATCATTAGTGAAGTTATTTGCTCAAACCTAACCATGTGTTTTCTAAGGATTTTTACCTATTAAATTTACTGTTTATTCAACAGAAACAAGTATCACTTGATAGAGATCGTGCAGTTATCTTAGTCGTATCTGTAACTGATCTAGTTCTTTTCAATTGAATTATTGAAAATCATGATGTCAACTGTTACTGAAACAACGCTTTATCAGTTTCGACCATAAACAAGGTAAAGTAGAATAGGTAGACAGGTTTGGATCATTATATTGATGAGCAATTGGCACCAGTTATAACTATTGCAGAAGCTGTACCATATGTATAAGTGATCTCAATCCGTAGGACGGGTCAATTTTTCACGTCGATTTTATTGATATGAGTAGTCTACCGAGGTAGAGAGATGTATCTATTGAATGCGCCTTAAGAATAATTGTTATGTCTATTTTTTAGTATTATAAGACTAAAGAAAATCAACAAAGCCTGTTTTTTTTAATTAATCCTTATTTGATAAACTATTCTTTATTATTTCAGCTGTGCCAGCTAATAGTGCAGCAATCGATTCGCATACGGTAGTGGCTGATACTGAAAACTCATTGAAGGGTACAATGGTTGTGTCAAATTGTGACATTCAGTCACTTACGGAATCAAAAGCTGCATTATCTGAAACTTTGGCACATGCAGTTCAAACAAAATCTAGAAATGCTAATTCGAAAGTTCAAGTGAATACTATCAGACTACTGTCTCATGGTGCACTTGCTCTCGATTATCAATGTAAAGCTGTGGCTGATTTAGAGGCAGCAAAAATGGCATTACACAATGCTGTTCAACGGAATGATTTCATAAATGTGATTGCTCTGCGGATAATTGCTGCCGAATCTGAAGCAAGCGAAAGAAGTCAACAGAATAAAACCCTGCATTGTAAGTTCAATCAGTTTTTTATTATATCTGTAATTCAAGATTCCATGAGGAATCAGAAACATCTTGGATCAGTTTTTCATCTAGTAATCTTATATTAGAGTAACAGTTGATTAGAGGGGTCAATTTACAGTTAGTTTCGTTCACGATTAAATAAATTCGTTTGAATTACTTTTCAGCAGCTCTACTATCAATGAAATTTTCTCTCTGCAGAAATTTGCTGTTGTAGAAATAACTCGTTCAATGTATATGAACTCAGTTTACTGTTATTTTTCATCATTTACTTCAGCCAAATACTTATAGTGTATTGAAATTCATTAGATTTTCTCTGTCTATTACAATAATAGTTTTAGACGTAATTTTGTTAGAAAATGGATTTTGGGTTTTTTTCCTTTATTATGAAATTCAACATTGAAATAATTTCATTCGAATCGTAAGTAAAATTCTTACATTGAAAGCAATAGCTTATGAGAAATGCTGTTAGAGCAATCCCTGTGGAATAAAAAATGTTAAACGCGAACTGTTGTAGCTAATTATCTAACAGCTTCATTTTTTATACATATTATGATAGATGGGTATATCGCAGCTTACTTTGCAAGCTATAATTAAAATATATTCCAATCAGTTGCTGCTCATAGATGATCGTTTACAGCCACTTGAAGTCATCTGTTACGAACTATGATTGGTTCGTGAATCAACCTGACACATTCACGCATAAAGCTATGCATTGTATGGAAAATCTTAAAATATAGCAATTCATATCTAAATTATATGAATATTGCCTAACTTCATATACCAGTTTCGGTTCTAGCGAAAGAATGCCTTTTAAAAAGCGTCCTTAAGCTAACTTTGTACTTCAACATCTTTTAAATCAGTCCCATATCTTAATTACAAAATATTCTCTCTTTCAATTCAACATCACATCGCTTTTTAACAAATGACTATCAATGAATTCATCCACTTTCCCAATCGCTTTGAATGTAATCTATAATCGATAACACCCTATCAAATAATTTAAAGACTACATACGAGCTGCGAATCGCAAGAAGAGAAAACCGAAAAGCTAGTCTAAAAATATCTCTCATGGGTGTCAGTTCAAAGAGACAGATGAACATCCACCCCCACACCACAACAGGAGAGCCACTTAAGACCCCAGCACAAACCGTCTATCGTTCAATACACATTTCAGTTCCACCGCAACCAGCATTCAAAGCACCGAAAAAAGCTGACGTTCCCTGCGGTGTCACAGATCGCCAACACCCCCCATCGAAACCACCGAAGGAAGGTGAATGGGCATCGGCAACAATTCATCAAAAGGGGGAATCAACAGAAGCAACACGACGCCCTGGAGATACAACGAAATCCGGACCAGGTAACGATCATGAGAAGGACCGTTCCCCGGAAGCAACACGACACCAAGGACATACCACGAAATCAGGACCAGGCAACGGTGGTGACAAGGGCCGATCAACATTTGTAACACGACACCCTCGAAACACCACGAAACCCAGTGGAAGTACTGGTGGTGACAAGGGCCGATCAACATTTGTAATACGACAACCTCGAAACACCACGAAATCCAGTGGAAGTACTGGTGGTGACAACGGCCGATCAACATTTGTAACACGACACCCTCAAAACACCACGAAATCCAGTGGAAGTACTGGCGGTGACAAAGGCGGATCAACAGAAGCGACGCGACACCCAGGAGACACAACCAAATCCGGATCTAGTACTGCTGATGGGAAGGGCACATCCACGGAAGCTGGCTCACCAGCTGCTGCTACCACGAAATCGGGCGGTGCTGTCGGCGATGGCAAGCCGCACCGGTTGAAAGAACCGAAAGGAGGTAATGGGAAATTTGATGGAGGCGAGAAAAAGGATGAACTATTCAGGGGACCGAAGGATGGTGAGCGTAAACGGGATGGAGTCAGCAAAGAGGATGAAGCATTCAAGGGACGGAACGAAATTGGAGGTAAACTGGGTGGAGTCGACGAAAAGTATGAACCATTCAAGGAACCGAAGGAAGGTGGCCGTAAGCTGGATGGCGCCGGCATGATTGATCTAGCATTCAAAATACCGAAACAGCGTGAAGGTAAACTGGATGGAGCCGACAAAAAGGATGAACCATTCAAAGAAGAGAAAGAAGGTGAAGCTAAACTTAGTAGAGTCGACAAGAAGGATGAACCATTCAAGGAACCGAATGAAGGTGAAGCTAGATTGGATGGAATGGTGAAAAATGATCAAGCATGGAAAGAATCTAAGCAAGGTGAGGCTGCATCGGGTAAAAGTGATGACAAAGGTAACGGATCGAAAGGAGCGAGAGAAAGTGAAGGTGTATCGCGTGTAGATGGTGAAAAGGGTGAATCGACGAAAGCACCGACACAAGCTGCCGCTACGAGGTTAGCAGCCGTACAAGGTGGAGCTACGACTGTATCCGGAGCAGCTGGAAGTGTTTAAATGGTTTCTTAGTGTGAAGTTGAAAGCTCGCGTGATCTCTATTTCATGTAAGGCGGTATGTTCTCTATGTTCTTTCACCTTTATTGGTACTCTATTTTCTTGCGTTCTTCATACATATATATATGTAATGTTCTTTGTTTACATATAATAAAAAAAAGTTGGTGCATGTGGATGATCAGCACGTTTACCTATATGCATAGGAAAAAAGAAGGGAAAGAGAGACCGTAACAATTGCCCACCGTGCAAAACAACATGAAAACAGATACAGAAGAATTTTGTTTTTGTTTGATTGAATTAATTGTCCACTTATAATTATCAGAGCCTCTGTTGATTAGAGGTTCATCTATGTTTCCTAACAAAACCTCTTTAAAAAGAGACTTGAACGGTGAGTCACTGTAGAGCCTTTTTAAAAAACGAAGACCCGTGTTATTTTAACATTAGATTACCGGATTTGGTTTAGGCATACAACACTTGTTCTCATTATTAGGTGAGCAATTTTTTTCTGTTATGTGTTTTTGTTGATTATAAACGTATGTTATACCCACGAAAACAAATTCGTAAAAAAACGCGATTAACCGCGGTATTGAAACCGTGGTTTCAAGGGGTATTTCGGAAACACGGGAGTCAGACCGTTTATTCATTTCTTTTTAAACGCTGAAAACCGCGTCGTATCGCGTTTTTAAAAAAGCCTAATTAAACGGTCAGATTCTCGCGTTTTTTTAAACGCGTTAGCACGCGGTTTCCGCAAGACGCAATCTGACGTGGTTTTAAGAAACGAAAAAAAGTCGATGATAACTGCAGTTTCGTAATACCGCATTTTTACAGTTCACCTGATCAGTTCATTATGCTCAGGTGTGGTACCCTTCGTGGGGTAGCGTAGCGAACTATAAGTTCTATTACTTCAAAGTCACTTTGCAGCGACGGAGTTCATCTTAAATTTTGTAGTACTTGAAACAGAGTAAGGCGCGCACGATATCCTTGCTGCTCTTATGCATTGTTGTCGTAACAATTTATGTATCGTACGAAATACGTAAAGGAAATATTTGTAAATATTCACTGTAGCGCTAATGCAGTGGTCTAAGGTGTTGGAAATTACCGCGGTTGCTATTTAGTTCCACGCGGTTTACGATCCCGCGGTTTTCACTGAAAAATTTTTTCAGTGTGGAAAAGGTCTGGAGAAGACAGCATATCAAATTTACGAGGATTTCCTCAGAACCTAATCAAAGGTCACTGAGGTCGGCAAAATTTCAAGTACATAGGCATGGACCAAACCCAAACTGTTTGAACTCGATAATGGCGAACTCGACTCGAACTCGAAAATTTGAGTTTGAATTCGATTGCACTCGAGCTCGAACATTTAAGGTCGAGTTCAAACTTGAAAGTTCGAGCGCAAGTCGAGCTCGAACTGGAAAGATCGAGTTTGCATCGAGTTCTATCGAGCTCAGTGATGAATGAAAGGAAGAAGTATTTTCCACGAAAAACGTGAAGTGACTAA